CTATAGACTAGACTATAGACTAGACTATAGACTAGACTATAGACTAGACTATAGACTAGACTATAGACTAGACTATAGACTAGACTATAGACTAAACTATAGACTAGACTATAGACTAGACTATAGACTAGACTATAGACTAGACTATAGACTAGACTATAGACTAGACTATAGACTAGACTATAGACTAGACTATAGACTAGACTATAGACTAGACTATAGACTAGACTATAGACTAGACTATAGACTAGACTATAGATTAGACTATAGACTAGACTATAGACTAGACTGTAGACTAGACTATAGACTAGACTATAGACTAGACTATAGACTAGACTATAGACTAGACTATAGACTAGACTATAGACTAGACTATAGACTAGACTATAGACTAGACTATAGACTAAACTATAGACTAGACTATAGACTAGACTATAGACTAAACTATAGACTAGACTATAGACTAGACTATAGACTAGACTATAGACTAGACTATAGACTAGACTATAGACTAGACTATAGACTAGACTATAGACTAGACTATAGACTAGACTATAGACTAGACTATAGACTAGACTATAGACTAGACTATAGACTAGACTATAGACTATAGACTAGACTATAGACTAGACTATAGACTAGACTATAGACTAGACTATAGACAGATATAGACTAGACTATAGACTAGACTATAGACTAGACTATAGACTAGACTATAGACTAGACTGTAGACTAGACTATAGACTAGACTATAGACTAGACTATAGACTAGACTATAGACTAGACTATAGACTAGACTATAGACTAGACTATAGACTAGACTATAGACTAGACTATAGACTAGACTATAGACTAACTATAGACTAGACTAGACTAGACTGACTATAGACTAGACTATAGACTAGACTATAGACTAGACTATAGACTAGACTATAGATAGACTATAGACTAGACTATAGACTAGATATAGACTAGACTATAGACTAGACTATAGACTAGACTATAGACTAGACTATAGACTAGACGATAGACTAGACTATAGACTAGACTATAGACTAGACTATAGACTAGACTAGACTATAGACTAGACTATAGACTAGACTATAGACTAGACTATAGACTAGACTATAGACTAGACTATAGACTAGACTATAGACTAGACTATAGACTAGACTAGACTATAGACTAGACTAGACTATAGACTAGACTATAGACTAGACTATAGACTAGACTATAGACTAGACTATAGACTAGACTATAGACTAGACTATAGACTAGACTATAGACTAGACTATAGACTAGACTATAGACTAGACTATAGACTAGACTATAGACTAGACTATAGACTAGACTATAGACTAGATATAGACTAGACTATAGACTAGACTATAGACAAGACTATAGACTAGACTATAGACTAGACTATAGACTAGACTATAGACTAGACTATAGACTAGACTATAGACTAGACTATAGACTAGACTATAGACTAGACTATAGACTAGATATAGACTAGACTATAGACTAGACTATAGACTAGACTATAGACTAGACTATAGACTAGACTATAGACTAGACTATAGACTAGACTATAGACTAGTATAGACTAGACTATAGACTAGACTATAGACTAGACTATAGACTAGACTATAGACAGACTATAGACTAGACTATAGACTAGACTATAGACTAGTATACTAGACTAGACTAGACTATAGACTAGACTATAGACTAGACTATAGAGACTAGACTAGATAGACTAGACTATAGACTAGACTATAGACTAGACTATAGACTAGACTATAGACTAGACTATAGACTAGACTATAGACTAGACTATAGACTAGACTATAGACGAGACTATAGACGAGATTATAGACGAGACTATAGACGAGACTATAGACGAGACTATAGACGAGACTATAGACGAGACTATAGACGAGACTATAGACGAGACTATAGACGAGACTATAGACGAGACTATAGACGAGACTATAGACGAGACTATAGACAAGACTATAGACGAGACTATAGACAGACTATAGACTAGACTATAGACTAGACTATAGACTAGACTATAGACTAGACTATAGACTAGACTATAGACTAGACTATAGACTAGACTATAGACTAGACTATAGACTAGACTATAGACTAGACTATAGACTAGACTATAGACTAGACTATAGACTAGACTATAGACTAGACTATAGACTAGACTATAGACTAGACTATAGACTAGACTATAGACTAGACTATAGACTAGACTATAGACTAGACTATAGACTAGACTATAGACTAGACTATAGACTAGACTATAGACTAGACTATAGACTAGACTATAGACTAGACTATAGACTAGACTATAGACTAGACTATAGACTAGACTATAGACTAGACTATAGACTAGACTATAGACTAGACTATAGACTAGACTATAGACTAGACTATAGACTAGACTATAGACTAGACTATAGACTAGACTATAGACTAGACTATAGACTAGACTATAGACTAGACTATAGACTAGACTATAGACTAGACTATAGACTAGACTATAGACTAGACTATAGACTAGACTATAGACTAGACTATAGACTAGACTATAGACTAGACTATAGACTAGACTATAGACTAGACTATAGACTAGACTATAGACTAGACTATAGACTAGACTATAGACTAGACTATAGACTAGACTATAGACTAGACTATAGACTAGACTATAGACTAGACTATAGACGAGACTATAGACGAGACTATAGACGAGACTATAGACGAGACTATAGACGACTATAGACGAGACTATAGACGAGACTATAGACGAGACTATAGACGAGACTATAGACGAGACTATAGACGAGACTATAGACGAGACTATAGACGAGACTATAGACGAGACTATAGACGAGACTATAGACGAGACTATAGACGAGACTATAGACGAGACTATAGACGAGACTATAGACGAGACTATAGACGAGACTATAGACGAGACTATAGACGAGACTATAGACGAGACTATAGACGAGACTATAGACGAGACTATAGACGAGACTATAGACGAGACTATAGACGAGACTATAGACGAGACTATAGACAAGACTATAGACGAGACTATAGACTAGACTATAGACTAGACTATAGACTAGACTATAGACTAGACTATAGACTAGACTATAGACTAGACTATAGACTAGACTATAGACTAGACTATAGACTAGACTATAGACTAGACTATAGACTAGACTATAGACTAGACTATAGACTAGACTATAGACTAGACTATAGACTAGACTATAGACTAGACTATAGACTAGACTATAGACTAGACTATAGACTAGACTATAGACTAGACTATAGACTAGACTATAGACTAGACTATAGACTAGACTATAGACTAGACTATAGACTAGACTATAGACTAGACTATAGACTAGACTATAGACTAGACTATAGACTAGACTATAGACTAGACTATAGACTAGACTATAGACTAGACTATAGACTAGACTATAGACTAGACTAGACTATAGACTAGACTAGACTATAGACTAGTAGACTATAGACTAGACTATAGACTAGACTAGACTAGACTATAGACTAGACTATAGACTAGACTATAGACTAGACTATAGACTAGACTATAGACTAGACTATAGACTAGACTATAGACTAGACTATAGACTAGACTATAGACTAGACTATAGACTAGACTATAGACTAGACTATTGACTAGACTATAGACTAGACTATAGACTAGACTATAGACTAGACTATAGACTAGACTATAGACTAGACTATAGACTAGACTATAGACTAGACTATAGACTAGACTATAGACTAGACTATAGACTAGACTATAGACTAGACTATAGACTAGACTATAGACTAGACTATAGACTATAGACTAGACTATAGACTAGACTATTGACTAGACTATAGACTAGACTATAGACTAGACTATAGACTAGACTATTGACTAGACTATAGACTAGACTATAGACTAGACTATAGACTAGTCTATAGACTAGACTATATACTAGACTATAGACTAGACTATAGACTAGACTATAGTCTAGTCTATAGTATATGTATATATAGACTAGACTATGGACTAGACTATAGACTAGACTATGGACTAGACTATAGACTGATCGATAGACTAGCAATAGACTAGTCAACTGATTAGTCAATAGACTAGACAATAGGTTAGTTAAAAAGACTAATCCGTAGACTAATCAATAGACTAGTTAACAGATTAGTCAATAGACTAATCAGTTATTTAAAAACTTATTAATATTTCAAAATTCCAACTATCCATGTCTGGTATATATGGGAATTAATAAGCAAAATTCATATACAAAAGCAGCATCCATTAAATAATGAAACTGCATTTTTGTTTCAATACTTGTAACATATTAATAAAGATTTAAAACTTTTTGTGAAAAATAAACAAAACAAATTCATCTGAAATTAAAATTCAAAACAATATTTTTTTTCGAAAGTTTTAATAATACACATCTCAACAGATGTTTTGCCTTAATAATTTGTAATTACAAATATTTTTATTATATTTATAACGCATTTTAGTTTTATTATTATAATTTTTTTTTTATCACTACAAACCCCACTCTTGTTCTAATTATGATTAAAATAGAATTTTTGTTCAAAACTTTTCATTCATGTTTAAAATTACTTTAATCTACTTTTAGAAAAGAGGCTTTTATAACTTGAAATTTTAGTTTTTATTTTATTGTTGTTTAACACTTTCTCTGAATTCTTAAGAATTTTTTATTGTTATTTGTTTCTTTTGTTGTGGTATTTATTTTTATTTTTTTTTTATTTATATTTTATGCTCTTTAAAATATCAATTTTTTTGACGCGTTTTGTTTCGTTTCTATTATTATTATCAACAGTTTAGATCTTTTAAGAGTTTTGTTGTTATTCTTATTTTGAAGTTTTAATATGTTTTTTTCTTTTATTGTAATTTTTTTCAGGTTCTCCAAAGAATTGATGATGTCTCATTGATGTGTGATAAACGTATTGCTAGTTTAAAGAAACTGGCCTTAAAACCACCGCGTCCCATACAAACGGTAACACCAGAACCGGCAGTGCCGCTACAGCCTCCCGGCGGGGCACCTCATCTATTGCGTAGGAAACATAAGGTGAGTTTGATTTATGCAATTAAATATTGAAAGACATTTTTGCCAATTTTGACCTTTTTTAATATAACGGATTTACATTTTTTTAAATATTCCCTCTCCACCATTATATGATTTTTCTTAAAAAAATTCATAAACTTATCAAAAATTATTTTCATACTAAGTATTTTACCAAGAAACAAATTATCTTATTCTAGAACTTCAGTTCTATGCTCTCAATGTCCACATTAATAAATTCTTTTGAATACAGGAGTTTAGGTCAAAAATTTGAACTCATTTAACAGAAATAACACAAACAATTATTAAAAATTGAGGTTATAAAAACAATTGCTCTACTAATTAAAAATTGTTTATAAACAAATAAAATGTTTGTAGTAGTTTTTGTATAAGTTCCATTGTATTTTTCTTAAATAACAAGATTTACGATAAACAATTAAAAAATATGTGTTCTAACAAGTATGTAATTTACAATAAAAAGATATATGAGTGAAAAAAAGCAACAGTGTGACATGAATATAGAGAAACATATATAGATAGATAGATAGATAGATAGATAGATAGATAGATAGATAGATAGATAGATAGATAGATAGATAGATAGATAGATAGATAGATAGATAGATAGATAGATAGATAGATAGATAGATAGATAGATAGATAGATAGATAGATAGATAGATAGATAGATAGATAGATAGATAGATAGATAGATAGATAGATAGATAGATAGATAGATAGATAGATAGAATAGATAGATAGATAGATAGATAGATAGATAGATAGATAGATAGATAGATAGATAGATAGATAGATAGATAGATAGATAGATAGATAGATAGATAGATAGATAGATAGATAGATAGATAGATAGATAGATAGATAGATAGATAGATAGATAGATAGATAGATAGATAGATAGATAGATAGATAGATAGATAGATAGATAGATAGATAGATAGATAGATAGATAGATAGCTAGATAGATAGATAGATAGATAGATAGATAGATAGATAGATAGATAGATAGATAGATAGATAGATAGATAGATAGATAGATAGATAGATAGATAGATAGATAGATAGATAGATAGATAGATAGATAGATAGATAGATAGATAGATAGATAGATAGATAGATAGATAGATAGATAGATAGATAGATAGATAGATAGATAGATAGATAGATAGATAGATAGATAGATAGATAGATAGATAGATAGATAGATAGATAGATAGATAGATAGATAGATAGATAGATAGATAGATAGATAGATAGATAGATAGATAGATAGATAGATAGATAGATAGATAGATAGATAGATAGATAGATAGATAGAATAGATACATAGATACATAGATAGATAGATAGATAGATAGATAGATAGATAGATAGATAGATAGATAGATAGATAGATAGATAGATAGATAGGATAGATAGATAGATAGATAGATAGATAGATAGATAGATAGATAGATAGATAGATAGATAGATAGATAGATAGATAGATAGATAGATAGATAGATAGATAGATAGATAGATAGATAGATAGATAGATAGATAGATAGATAGATAGATAGATAGATAGATAGATAGATAGATAGATAGATAGATAGATAGATAGATAGATAGATAGATAGATAGATAGATAGATAGATAGATAGATAGATAGATAGATAGATAGATAGATAGATAGATAGATAGATAGATAGATAGATAGATAGATAGATAGATAGATAGATAGATAGATAGATAGATAGATAGATAGATAAATATAATAATAAATATCGATCTATGACTACAATGTGGAAAAATATCGAAAAGGGGAGAAATGGAAATTGAGTTTTTTCCAAACTTATTGAACTAATTTTGCAAAATTTTTAAAAGTCCTTCGAAATAGGATATTGTTGTGTTAGTTATTTCAAATTCAGGTAACAAAGTTACTTAGGACCAAATTCCAGTAAGTTGTTTGGTACAAATTGATTCAAGTACATCTAAAGGAGTGAACTCTTTGGTACTTTTCTTTCTTTAATCTAATCGTACTTCACTCTCAACATAAGTGTCACACTGTTTTAATAATGTTTTTTCCCTATTTCATCTCATCCATATGCCGGATTTTTTTATGATTTTTAAAGTCTCTTGTAAATGAATCATGATGGCAATAAAATGTGACCCAAATATGCACGATGCGGTCAGTGACTTGTGATTAAAAATTTGAGACATTAATTACACACATCTTTTTTATTTATATAGAAACACTCTAAGACCTTTTACCGTTTGTTTGTAATAATATTTCATTACATTTTGTTAAGATTTTTGTAATATTTTGTATTTTAAAAAAATGTTTAATGCAAAAAGAAGAGAATTTTCTCAATTGTTGTCAAATACAATGACATTTCAACTATTAAGCTGGAGATATCAAAAACGTAAAAAAAGCACGACTTAAAAATATGTTTATTATTTTTATTAAGGGCCTGTAGCTGTATGAATTTTGAATAAATAAGGGTTTCAGGTACTCAGTTGTAAAATACCAAGTGTAAACAAACAGACAAAAGTAATGTGTAATCCAAATGCAATGTACTCTTGAAATTTCAAATGATTTATTAATTTTTTCAAACTATAAACTTAAAAAAACAAAAAAGGTCGTCATTGTCATTGGTGTAATCGTAAATTAATTTCTACCAAGTATTATTATTGTTTTATTTTATAACATTTTAAGTAAAAGTGAAACTTTTGTTTTGTGTTTGTATATATTTTTCTTTATTATTATTTTGCAAAAAAGTCACAAACTGAAACTGAAACGCAAAAGTCAGTCTGCATATAGACAGACAGACATTTGTTTTGAAAATTCAACAAGTGTCTGCTATAGTTTTTTTTCTCTCTTTGTCTATTCTGCTGTTTAATTTTAGCGCATAAAAGTGTGGCTGAAGTCCATGCCCTTAAGTTAAGATGTGATGCTTTTATAAACCATTGTCACTTGTCTTGTTTTTTTTTCTTTTCCTGAGGATCATTTCAGTTCAGCTTAAATAAATAAAAAATAAAGTGTAAAAGTGCCGTGGAATATTAGTTATATTTCTATTGTTTTCTTTAGGTTTTTATGAAATGTTTTCGTATCTTGTTACACATATACGAGGGGTGTTGAAAGAAGAAATTTGCACATTTTTAATAACTTTCAAATGTACCCGGAATACTTCGCTGATACAATAATTATAAAAACATCTGCTGATAGTTTTGAATTAAATTAGATTACTTTTACCATCTAACTGTCAATTATTTAGAATGGTTTTCGAATCAAAATCGCTTGCTTATGTTTTATTTACAACTTTGTTTTCAATTTGTATTTTCAATCAGCCCTCGTATTCCAGCTGCAATTATTAACTTTGTGCTTGAAATTTTAAAGAGCAGAAAGTCAAAGATATAAAATTAAAAAAAAAACATTATTTGCGAAACATTGCTACAGCTCTGAGAAAAAGAAATGACAAATTTGTTTACTTCCAGAATATACTTAGTAGTTTACTAAATTACAATATCTAGTGTGAAATGTTTACCTTATGAGCTCAACGCTTTTTTAAATACATATTTTATGGTATTGTTAAAATAGAGAGACCAGGTTTTTCGTTCAGTTCAGTTCTAGTTCAGTGATAGTTCAGTTCTAGTTTCGTTCTAGTTCAGTTCTATTTTAGTTCTAGTTCTGTTCTAGTCAGTTCTAGTTCAGTTCTAGTTCATTTCTAGTTCAGTTCTAGTTCAGTTCTAGTTCAGTTCTAGTTCAGTTCTAGTTCAGTTCTAGTTCAGTTCTAGTTCAGTTCTAGTTCAGTTCTAGTTCAGTTCTAGTTCAGTTCTAGTTCAGTTCTAGTTCATTTCTAGTTCGGTTCTAGTTCAGTTCTAGTTCAGTTCTAGTTCAGTTCTAGTTCAGTTCTAGTTCAGTTCTAGTTCAGTTCTAGTTCAGTTCTAGTTCAGTTCTAGTTCAGTTCTAGTTCAGTTCTAGTTCAGTTCTAGTTCAGTTCTAGTTCAGTTCTAGTTCAGTTCTAGTTCAGTTCTAGTTCATTTCTAGTTCAGTTCTGGTTCAGTTCTAGTTCAGTTCTAGTTCAGTTCTAGTTCAGTTTTAGTTCAGTTTTAGTTCAGTTCTAGTTTAGTTCTAGTTCAGTTCTAGTTCAGTTCTAGTTCAGTTCTGGTTTGTGAATGAGAAATGTCTCTTAACGAGATTGGGTATAAGTTATATCTAGAGCTATTCTTTTCCTCTTATACAGTAGAAAAGAAAGACCAAATGGTTATACAAGACCTTCTCCTCGACTTGAAAGTTATCTTTACATCGACCGTAAATCTCTGTTCTTGAATGAAGACCGGCTATACAATCGAAGCAGACTGAAATGTCGGCCGTAAAAAAACTGTTAGGGATGAAGTATTATAGGATATACATAGCCGTCAATTCGACGAAAGTTGATATTTAGAAATCAGTCTTGAGGTTGCTGTCTCTTAACGGAATGAGGTATCATTCAAATCTTGGGCTATTATGGGTCTTATGAATATCTTTTTACAGCAGAAAAACTTAAACCAGATTATAATTTATGAAACACCTGTTCGACATCAAAGTTGTCTTTACATTGTACGAAAGTCTTTGAAGGGACTCTCAAGAGAGCTACTCTCCATGATTTCTACAGAAGTTGCAACGCAAACACCTTTTTAGTGTCGGTTATGTATTTGAACGAATTGGCGGATCTCTCTATAGATATTCTCTGTAGATCTTTTCAAGATTGCTTCGTTTAGTTTCATAATGTCCATTACACACCAAAAATATCGTAAGGACCATGATCATATAAACATAAAGTCCCTTATTCACAAACAAAATTTTTATTTTATAAAAGGTTTATAAAACAAAATTTCTATATAAAATCTAATTTATAAACCGTTTATAAAATAAAAAATTTGTTTGTGAATAAGGGGAAAGTCTACAAATACATAGTTCACTTAAAAAATCTTGGGAAATTGACTATTTGTGGTTCATGAACG